TTCCATATTGCTGTTCATTATCAAAGTAAGTCAAGACAGGAACTCAAACAGGGACAGGAACCTGAAGGCAGGAGCTGATGCTGAGGCAGTAGAGAAGTGCTGCTTACTGGCTTGCTTCCCATGGCCTGCTTTCTTATAGAACCAGGACCACCAGCCAAGGGGTGGCACCCTCCCTCATCAATCACTAATTAAGAAGATGCCTTTTAGCTAGATCTTCAGGAATCATTTTCTCATTGAGGTTCCCTCCTTTCAGATAATTTGGATCACATTGACACACACTGAACTATAGCAGGATTTCTGGAGGTTAAATAAAAGCCATCATTCTTCAAGAAATTGTGAAACTTGTTTCCTTTTACCAAAAGGAGTAATTCATTCCCTTATCTCTGGAACAAGAGAACTATGTGGGGCCAGGCTCCCTCACTATCACAACTACCTATTATACATTTCAAAGTCCATGCTAGCATCCTAGCCTTGGTCACATTCTCCCCTACCTTAAACCCCCTCCAGCTCACCACTCCTCCCCCCGCACACCCCAGTTACTCATTCTTCTCATAACCCTGATATATCCACTGTTTTTTTTCCTTTCTCTCCTCCTGCTTCTCCCACAATGTCTTCTCTGTTCTTTACCTCCTGCCATTCTTTCCTCTCTCAGATAATTCTGACCACTTCCAGTCAGTCAGCTGACCATGTTCAATCTACTTCTTTCTCTCTCCACTCTGGGCTCTTCCAGATGTCTCTTGGTTATTCTTTCTCTCACGGATACAATTTGAAAACCTTCCCTTTAACCAAGCATGGAGTAGTCATGTTGTCAGTTTATACATTCACACTCAAGAGAAAATATAAGAAGTGAAGAGACCCGTGTCACAATATCCTTTTATTAGCCTCACCTCTCAAAAACTCTATCGCCTCCCCGCACAAGAGTTTTTTTGTGAAACACTCAACACCCACGTCATAACAAGGTGTAAGAAAGCTTGGACAGAAAGCCCAGCTTCACCTGTTAGAAGTTTTGTGTCTTAGGACAACTTACATGTTCTAACTTGAATTTCCTTCTCGGAGCATTTTTGCATACATGCATGATCATATCTACCTCACTCAGCTCTTGGAAGAACTTGATGAAACCATTTAGCATAGCGCCCAGCCTTTCTGAATAGTTAACACACTACTTCTCACTTACTGTATTTTTCCTTCTACACTCTCCCTTCCCCTCCTTCACATTAACACCACTTGTCCCCCTACTATCTCTGTTACCGTGCCAATATCCTACAGGCATGACCAGTTGTGGGATGTGAAGTCATCTTTAACTTCTTGTCTAGCAGGCTGTCATATCTGGGTTAATGTTAGAAATTGGTGTGGTGTCTCAGGAAAATAATCACATAATTGGCAGCATTTTGGCAGAGCAAAAATACTTACTTTTGCAGAAAGCTATGGAGCCAGGTATCAAACAGACAAGACACACTGTTCTCCACTGGTCCTGTTCTCCACTCTGAGTGGTCAGAACTTGGCCTCACACTTTGATGGGGCGAGCTAACTTAAACACTGAGCAGTTGACAAGCAATGCATGACTTCTGAGGACTCGATGCAACCTGGAACACTTCCTTTGATCTTTTGTCAGATGACATCTTTACAAGTATCTTAATGCTGGATTTTGAGCCTGTCCCTTTAAACCTGGAGCTTGAAGCATGAAGCACCAGGGCAAACTCTCAGATCTGGGAAGAGTAAACCCTCAGGCAGTCTTGGCATGGGGGATGCAAACCCAAATCTAAAAAAAAGGAGATACATAATGCAGCTTATCCCTAATCTCTATTCAACTCCCTTTGTTTCGTTTAACTGTAAAGTACATTTTCCACCATAGGAAGTTTTTCTGCTTGCAAATAGTTCTGAAACTAGGACCAAATGTGGCTTTGATACATGGTTAGAGGAACCTGGGAAATTTTTCTTTACAGCATAGTGCTGTGGCAAAAAAGAAAATTTCCTCTCTGGGTTAATCCTTTTGTTCTGGGGAAACTGACTCTCTCTTCTTGGAGCTAGATTATTGAACTTCTTTCTAACCACTATGTTGATGGAACCTGTTGATAGAAATTATTAATGAATGATCTAATATTTTAGTTCTAATATTAAGAGGTTATGTTTTATGTGTGTGACTATGCCCGGGCCCATGGTTGTCTTCTTCAGCTGTTCACCTTTATTTTTCTGCAGCAGGGTCTCTCATTTAATATGAGCCTCATGGGTTCTGCTAAGCTACCTGGCCAATAAAGCTTCAGGAATCTATGTGTCTACAGGTCACTCTCCATTCAAGGATGGGATTACAGGAACTACATTGCCATGCCTGACTTTTCATATGAGTTGTGGGGATCCAAACTCAAGCACTTTTCAAATGGCGTCATCTCCTTTGCCATGGCATGGAAGATCCTGTATTATTGATCCTGTGTTTCCTTCTGCAGTCGAGTCTATTAGTCAGTTAGTCATTTTACTTTATTGGGAAAGAAAGTAATAAATGTTCATAACCCTTGCAAGGTTGGCTGAGCTAGGCTGAATTCTGGCTTATACTAGACAGCATGCGGGTTTAATGAGGTGGGTTATTTTGCTGTGTTTTGTTGTCATCAATGACTGTACACTAAAGGAGAAATCCAAAGGATCAACTTTCATGAGACTCATCATTATTCTCAGGAGAGACAGCATTATCCCTCTGCTAGGTGACAAGATAAAATGAGTCCCAAAAATGAGACATGGGTCTTTGATCTCACCTCAGGGCAGCTGAAGGAGAAACCCAAGTCCCTTGTGATGTTCTCAGAAGCAGTACATTGTCGCAGGAAATAAAGACATGGCAGCTGTTATAGGAAGACCAGATGACTTTGTGTACAAAAGAGACATAGCCCTCTTCCAGGGCCTCTGGAAGAAGCTTAGCCAGTTTTCTTAACCACTGAGTCATCTCTGGCACACTGTTTAATGATAGAAATTTAAATAAATTATTTTTGATTCGTCATTTTTAAATTTAAAGATGAAAAGTAGGTCGAAGGATAGCATAATATTATGAATTCATTCTTTTTCAAAGAATGAGATTTTGAAATATGCTAGTTTGAATGAAAGATGTCCATCCATACACTGAGGTATTTGAGGGTTTCTGATAAACTGCTTGGAGGAGGCTTAGGAGGTGTGGCCTTTCTGTAGGGGTGGGTTTTGAGGACTTATGGACTTGTTCCATATTGAGTTCACTCTCCTAGCTTCTTGCTTACAGATAAAGATATGAACCCTCAACTTCCAGCTCCAACCATGCCTGTATGCTGTATCACTTGTATAAGGCACCAGTGATGGATTCTTACTCTCTGGAACTATAAATAAACCCTTCCTTTATAGAGAAGTTGCCTTAGTCCCGGTGATTTATCATAGCAATAGAAAAATAGCTAATGCAGGGAAGTAGACAACTTCTTTGATTTTCTTTCTACTTTGTAAGAACACAAGCAATTTATGTTTTTGCTTTAAGCCCCATTTACAAAATATAGGTGTGTAAGGGCTGGGAGGATGGCCCAGTAGGTAAAATGCTTGCTACACGGGCATGAGGACTTCAAGTGAATCAACAGAACCCTTAAAAAAGTCTGGTGTCGCTGGCGCACGCCTATAATCCAAGTGCAGGGAGCCAGACACTGTAGGATTCTGGGACTTTCCACCAGCTGGTCTATCCCATTTGTTCAGGTATAGGGCAAGTGACAAACTCTTTCTTAGTAATTGGCAAGAGACAGAGTAAAACACCTGGTATAGGCTTATGGTGTTCACATATACACTAACCCGTGAATCTGAACACATACTTGTACACACTGCATACACAGAAATTAAAAAAAAAACATGCAGGTAACAGAGTATTCAAAAACAGGCTGAGCCTATACAAAATCCATCTCATTTGCCGTTCTCGTAAAGAGGTATTAACGTTCTTTGAGCAAGAGATCGTGTCTCTATTCTTTTCTAGTGTGTTTGGGCTGAATTTTGAAATTGTCTGAACCACAAGGATATGCCAGAAGTGATTGAAGTTGCTTTCAGCTAAGTCATAAGGTGATACACACAGAAATGTGAGCTTGCTTTCTCAGCACTTGACTTAGGAACATAGCTACCACGTTGTGAGGACTCCCACACCACATGGAGATGCCACGTGTGTTCCACTCCCTCGACCTCCCCGTGGCTGTGGCATTCCCTGCCTTCTGATGAGTGCAGAGCCCAGTCTTCAAAGCTCTAGGTGTAGATAGGAATATGGTATGTTTTGTGTGACTCCTGAGCTACAGAACCCATAAGGCAACTACTGGTTATTGTGCTTGTGAGCCTTAAGGTTTTGGTAATATCTTCTGCAATAACAGACAATTAATAATCATAGCTAATGCATGATGGCACCATGAGCATGGGAAGAAAGGACATAATGCTTAACACAGCAAGAAGTTTTTCACTTCTGGTAGATATTAGAATATAATGACTACAACAAGAGCCATCACAAAGCAAAACTTTGGAGGTGAGTGAGGCCTCTCAATAAACTCCCTTTTTGGTTATCTTAGCAGGTACTTAGGTGTAGAGACTTGCAAGTACATGAGGAGCCATATTAGAACTTAGATGGCTCTAGTTTTGTGCTTGAATTTGCTTCCACAAGTAGATTTTTGGTTTTCCTCCTCTATGATAGGTTCTCCCCCCTCCCCAAATTCTAAAGGCAGAAGTGTAGGATGAGAGGCACAAGATATTTGTTAAACTTTCAGTCATACTTGGGACCCTGGTAACTTTTAGTCTACCGTCGGTGGTAAGCCCCACTCTAACAGAAGCTAGCTTCAGTAAGAAATACAATTGCTTCTCTAGCCAATTACTCTCCAGGTGATCTATTACATGCTGATCTAATATTGGTTTGGGAAAATATTTCAATTAGGTATTAGAAGTCATAAAGCCCATTTGTGAAGCCAAACTGCTTAATGGGAACTTGGGGGCTTGCCAAGCTTGTACTGCGTCATAGGGAAATTGCAACTCCATTATCTTCAGTTACCAGAGGCATCCAAAATTTTAATGTGGATGGATGTGGGCTCTGGAATGTGTTCTAGGGGTTTCAACAACCAAAAAATGAAAAAAAAAAATCCTCAACAGGAAAAAGAAAAGGCCCAAAAGTTCTTGTAGCCAAGAACTTCCCTTGTCACATAACAGGTTATAATATATGGTAAAGTGAGTTGCAGAATAAGGACAGTGAAAGATAAGGAACACACTTGTCTTCTGTACCTGAATGGATATGGTGTTGAATTGGGCATTCACTCAGATTTTAAGCAATTACTTTTTAAGCAAGCATGTAGAGGAGTAAGAGTTTAAGGTGGTATATCAACACAGTAGCAAAGTAAACTGTCAAAGGCTGTTTCTTTTAGTCATGTTTAAACCTTCATCACATCCCATACACAACTAAAATTAGACACCACAGAAAAGGTGCTTTCTTGTGTGCTGAGTACTGAGTAATTAAGAACAAACAAACAAACAAAAACCTTACCTGCCATCCAAGGACCTTGTCCATTGCCTGCATCACATCTACTCTTGTGTTTGAATACCTGGTCCACAGCTTGTAGCACTGGTGGTCCCCACTGGGGACGGGCTTTGAGGGTAATATGCGTTTCTCTTTCTGATTCACCAAGCTGTGGAAGCTCCTGCTGTCGTGCCTTCTGTACCACGATGGTCTCCTGAAAACTGTGAGCCACACACAATAAACCCTTTCCTTAAGCTGCTTATGTCAAGAATTTTATGACAGCATCCAGAAAGGTAGCTGGCATGCTATTTTGTTATGTAATACACATTTCTTAAGGTCAGAGTGGGACAGACTGTCTTTGCATTTTCCAGCATTCCCAGAATACCATACATGAAACATGTTTGAGTCAGTGTGTGAATCAAGAAAAACAGAAAAGGTCCGAGTTAGTATGCTCCACTGAGTTCCTAGAAGGGATGTGTCTCTACCACATCAAGGCGTAGGTGATTCTCAGGTGATAACCAACTACAGTTATAAAAACTGTGAGTTGCTTTAGATGCTGAGCAACATCTCCAAGAGTCAAGGCTGTGAAACCAACAAGGACAAAAAAGGAATAGTAATAGGAGCCTGCCACCAAAGAGAGATGGAGGGTGAGAGAGAGGGGGAGGGAGGAAGAGAGTGAGAGAGAGGGGGGGGACTTTCTGGATGGAATGTTACAAAAACAAGAAAGATGATGAAGAGAGAGTATCAAGTGACTCAACTGCCTGAAAAAAAAAGACAGAGAAATTGAGCTTTTGAGTCCTCAAAGCTCCCCAGTGTCTCACATATTTGAGTAGCACCTTGAACACATATCTCTAACATATACAGGAGACAGATTTGAAAAGCCATCATCTTTCTCTCTAGTTCCTCAGGTTGTAGCTGGTTGACTCAAAATCAAACAGGTGAAATTTCATCCTAGAAAACATGGGAGGAATCCCAGAAATGAATATGATGGAAGTGTGTTATATGCATGTATAGAAAGTCACAATAAAACCTATCATTTATACACTGCATAGATGCTAGTTAACAATTACAAATAAGTTGATGAACAGTTCCTGACTAACATTTTGATAAATTTCACCCCCCTTCCCTTTTTCTTTCCAGGTTTTTATTGAATAATTACTAATTACTAACATATGAAGCTATATTGTGTGTGTGTGTGTGTGTGTGTGTGGTTTGTTTGCAAATGTATAACAATTGTTTACTGGCATTTTTTAAACACATAAAACATGTAACACTTGACTTTTATCTCTGTTACTTCATCTCAATTAGTATATCCAGAATATTTTCTGCCATTCCATGGATCTTTCATCAAGGATTCTTGAGCTGACAAAGATCAAACTCTCACAATGCCAAGTTTAAAAATCATGCTGTCTGTGCAATTTAAAAGCGAGGCTGCTGGGGACAGAGAGATGGCTCCATGGTTGAGAGCATTTGCTACTCTTGCAGAGAATGGGTTTCCAGTTTCCAGTACTTGCATGGCAGCCCCTAATCTATTGTTCAGATTCCCTCTTCTGGTTTCTGCAGGCACCAGGCATGCCTGTGGTACATGTACATACTTGTAAGCGAATCACTCATCCATGAAAAATAAAAACAAACAAATCTTTCAAAAAGTTAAATCTCTTTTAAAAACCATAGATCCACCTTTATGCACCCCAAAGCCCCAGCATCTGCTTTCTGCAGTTTGAAAGCATTTTCTCCTCAGCACAGTTGGGTCTCAAGCAAAAACAGCTAGTACTAAGATGGCCATCATCCAAGGCCACAAGCGAAATACGATGAGCGGCAGCTTGTGTGCTTTGCCTGTGAATGCCACAGGCAACAACAATGCACTGTGTAATTCAAGTACACAGAAATAAGAACCCTGAATGTCCACATCACAAAAAGTTATGAGTTCCATAATTTTATTGTCACACAAGATGTATAAATTCAGCTATCACATTGTACCCCATGAATATATAATAATGTGAAGGTGGCAAGCACAAAAATGCATAAACCTTTTCCCTGAAATGTCATCCTCATTGCTATTGGTCAAGAGAAAGCATGGAACAGGTAGTCGTCAGAGCAGTCAATGTTTCCTAGAGCCAGGCTTCATGTACACACAAGTTGGTAGCTAAGGATCTCTTGTCTTAGGACCTTGGTATTTTCACTGTGATGCTCACAAGCTCTCCCAACTAGCACTCAGTGGGTAATGAGAGAAAAGCAGATTATAATGCTGCTACTTCCGTTCTCTCCTTCCACCACGTAGGTTCCACAGATCCGGTTCAGGTTTGGCAGTGAGCACCCTTACCTGCTGAGCTATCTTGAAGGCTCAGTTGACAATTTCAATGCCTCTCTGCATTGGCGTTTAAAGTGTGCTCTTAGGCTTTCAGCTGGTATCAACACCAATGTTATGCTTAGCAAGAACAGAGCCATTTTTGAAAGTGTTTATGTATCTAAAAGAAGGACAAATAAAACATGTTAGCTTGAAAAAAAATGAGGAATTTCCCTCCCAAAGTCCAAAATGTTTTGAGGTTGTGTGCACAACAGTTTGATTGTAGACTCAGAAAATTCTCACTTTCACAGTCTAGGGTGGGTGGCTCCTAAGTGAACAACAGCTGAGGGTGGGGTTGGCAGATCCTGAGAAAGTTAAGATAAGACTTTGAGAACACAGTGTTTGTAAACCCAATAAATACTCTTTTTAAAAATGTGAACTAGTTCTGATTGCCCCTAGGACTCTGCTGAGATGAAATTCAAAGAACCTTTTTTAGTGTAATCTCTAAAGAGAAGTGCAAAGAAGGCAATCTGTAAACACACAGACTGATTCCACCCAGGTCTCGTCTTTCTTTCCCAACCTCCAGTCTCAGGGAAGCTGATAAAGGCGCCACACATATTCAGCTCCCACAGTGAGAGGCAGGCTCTACCTCATTCCAGCCTGTGTTAAGGTCCCTGATCTTGATCAACCTGAATAGAAAGAAAGCTGATCAAATCTTCCCACAGAAGCAAACTCTGTGAGATTATGGAGCAGAGTCCTAATTCCTAGGAAGTGTGGGCAATGCAGGCTGTTGGCATGAGGTTAGATCTGACCAAGTGCCAAGGGATGAGAAAACTGGAACAATGTGAGCAGCAGTAAGAGGGGTAGGAGGCATAGGGGAAGAAATGAACAGTGTCCGGAACTGGGGGTCCAAGTTCACCAGTGTGGAGAGGCTTGGGAAATGCCAGCATTAAAGGCGGAGTAAATGTAACCACAGGTCAATTCACTATCAGTCTAGGAATATTCCAGCCCAGACATCGCCAAAGCCTTTCCAATTGATCTTCATTTAAACACTGAGACCCTTCTTCCTTATTCAAGACTTAAGGGAAACTTACACCCTCTCTCTAGAGCATCGGTTCCTCATGTTTCGGTGACCCCAAACCAAAAATTAATATTCATTTCTACTTCATAACAGTAATTTTGCCACTGTTATGAATCATAATGTAAATGTCTGTATTTTATGATGGTCTTAGGCGACCCCTCTGAAAGGGTCATTGGATCCCCAAAAAGGTCAAATGTTAGTATTCAGGCATCTGTACTGGCCTGCACTTGGGTTCTGACAGGATATATACTCAGCTGCAGCCACTAAAAGTACTACCTGTGCACATTCACTATGTTACCTTTTAAAAGAGCCCTGTCTACTTCCCACCTCTCTTTCTCTGTCTTGTCTGTCCCTTCCTTTCTCTCTCTGCTTCTCTGCCTGTCTCTCTTTTCTCTTCTACTACTCCTGTCCCAAGAGGCTGGTCTCCCCCCCCCCCCCGTTTCCCCATTCTCTTTCCCCTAATAAAAAACCCCTCCAAGTGAGCTCTGTTACATGACACCTTTCTCTCAAGTGCCACTTTTTAAATCACAACAGTCGAGACACAAATGTTGAGGACAGCTGCTATAGAACATTCTCTAAAGCCATAGCAACTAAACTGTACTTCTGTTTCAGCAATACCATAGTTTATTTAAATATGTGTTGTCTCCCTCTCCAATCTGGAGAATATTTTAAAATAAGGTAAGACCCAGTGCAATCGTAATACAGTAATAACTTGCCCATACACTCATGTGGCCTAAGTGTTGCTGATGGTGCCCTTGTTTCCTATGTCATTTCCTGGCCATTGCTCTTAGCACAGTGCTTGGCTCACAGTCAGTAGTCGGTGAGTTATATGATGAAATTTACATAATGGAAGCAGCTAAAATATTTACAATAACCTTTTAAAATCTTTAGCATACAACTCCAAAGGTATGCCTTAGAGTAGGTATGCAGTGAACTTAAGGGTCATTTTCCCCCCTCAAGCCGTTTTTCTAATCTACATCCTAAAGTGACAGGAACATGCAAGACAAATCCCTGGCATGAACATTCCCTTAAAACAAAAACAAACAAACAAAAACAGAACACCTCTGTATTATAGCTCAAGTCATTAGCAAGAGCCCACAGGAATCCACTTCCACAGGATGCCAGGCATAGGCACAGACTTTCCCCCAAGCTCAGGAAGCCTTGAGGTGAACAGAACAGAAAGCCACACAGACTTGGACCTATGTCCTGGTGCATCCAGGTATGAATCTTTGCTCCATTGCTTAGTTTGGTCTCAGGCTCCTTCACTCTCTAAGTCTTGGTTTCTTCATGTAGAATATACAGATAATAAAAGTACCTACAACAAGAAGTTCTTGTGAAGATTAAACTGAGTGGTAATAAATCTTAAAATCATTAACATAATGTCCATTTGCCTGTAGGTACTTAATCATTGTCAAGACTTTCCCCTTTTATTTGTGCTTACAGTGCCACCAGCCCACAGCCTACCACACTCTAGTCCATGAGAAAATCTTATTTTAACTTTTTTTTTTTAAATCTTGAAAACACCATTTAATTGCCCACAGGGAAGGTCATTGTTTGGCTCCTTTAAGAAGAACAAGACAGATCTTAGCCTTTAATAATAACATCTAAGCTTCCTGTGAGAGTATAGCAACGTGGTTGCCAGGGAAATGTTTTGTTTTTCTTTTCTATACTAAGAAAGAAACAGTCACGTGTTTACACATCATTTTAGTTGTCTGTCATGTTTAAGGGCTTTTGTTCAAGGGGATAAAGCAAGGGTCAGGTCAGCCTCTCATTGTACAAAATAAAACAACCGGGAAAGAGCATCGGATGAAGAGAAAAACTCCAAGCAGGCAGATGAGTGCTGTGGGGCTCAGCCACAGTACAGGAAAATGAGACTGTTATACCTGGACCTAACTTGAACAACATCCTGAGAGTGAGACAGATGATAACGGGTAGAGATGGCAGACCCCTTTCAGAGCAGTGTTTACAGGAGGTGTTTCTTCTCGTCACCTAGCTACAGTGGCACAGTGCTAAGCAAATTGACTGGCTATAAAATCACAGGGTTTTAACCTTACATCCCCTTTCTATTTCCTAGCACTTGTGTGACCTCAGCCATGTTGCCTAGTCTCTCTGTCACCTATTAAGAAAGACAAATAAAATCATTTACCTCTTGGTAAGATCAATAATGTGGGGGGGGGGGGATCAGTGAGATGGCTCAAGTAACAAAGACACTTGCCATCAAGCCTGGTGACCTGAGTTAAGTTTCTGGAATCTGTACTACGGAAGGGATGAAACAGACCCTACAAGCTGTCCTCTGATCTCCACATACAAGCCATAGCATGTGTGTGACACCCACACACACCACACACAATGTCATTTGTGAAAAAAAAAAGAATGTGAACTCATCTGGCACATGCCAAGTATGGATATTAGCTGAAGTAGTGCAAAATTTAATGATCAGCATGTAGTTAAACACTCATATTTTAATGGTATACTTTTATGGTGAAGGCAAATATAGTCAATGAATTCTGTATAATTTGCCTGAAATGAATAATATGCACCAACTCTGGGATCTGGCATTAGGCACCACCTGGTGGCAGTTACAAGTAAAATAGGTACATGTTGAGCAGCTGTAGAAACTTCTTGGGAAAATGTTTGGAATACAAGATAAGGAGCACTCAGATCCAGAGTTACATGAGCTGGCACCGGGCTTAATGAACTTAGGACTGGATCTAGGAAACGGACTTCGGAGCAGTGTTTCGTAAACTGCCTCAGCCAAGACACTCCTTGGCTCAGCTGTTACTAAAACAGAAGAAAATCTTGCCTTCTATTTATTTTTAACTCTCTACTAACCAGCACACTGTTTCGGCAAGTGCATTCAAATCACAAAAGAGAAGGAATGAAAAGAGAGGGAGGTAGAAAGGGAATAAAGGGTCGTGAAAGATATTTGGCAATCTATCTAATTCTCTCTGTGCTTTTATTTCGTCTAACCTCACCATGCTCCTCAATCATGGACAATTCAAGTTTGTTTGCTTCAACACCAACCCTGTGCCAATTGAAAGCAAGTTAACAGAGGCCACTCTGGGAGACTTTAAAAGAATAATGCATCTCTACAGGTTCTTGGCCATGGGACAAATTAGCATGGACTCAAGTACTAGGAGTAAGTTGTAGTAGGACAAGGACTGAAAGTTGGGGCAATGTGTAAAACATCTAAGCTGTGATCTTCTCTCAGATCTGTCCTTTGTGGCCTCAGTTGGTGTCCAGCTACTTTTGGATGCTAAGTGTCATCTACCTCCTAGCAAAATGGGCATACATGGGAAAACATTACCCCTGAAGGCCATAGTCTTTATATGCCATCTTTCACTTTTCTTATCTTGGAGTCTCCATCATGCTCCCAGAGACATAGCATGCTCAGGGAATGACCTACTCTCTACTAAGTTTCCCAACACTGTGTGGATATTTGGGAAATAGACTTCATATCTAACATTGTTAGTGAGCTTCACTGGTCACCATGGAGT